TCGCTGCCCCCCTCAGCCCCGCCGCTGCCCGGGGCTCCCTCGGCCGCGCTATGTCGCTGCACGGGAAGCGGAAGGAGATCTACAAATATGAGGCGCCCTGGACCGTGTACGCCATGAACTGGAGCGTCCGGCCGGACAAGCGGTTCCGTCTGGCGCTGGGCAGCTTCGTGGAGGAGTATAACAACAAGGTGGGGAGCGGCGGCGTGGTCCACCGGCATCAAAAAAAAAGGGGCTGGGGCAGAATGAGGGGGGAGGAAGGGGCCGGTTCTCTTCATCCCAGTGGTTTGAGCGGCTCCCCAGTCCCGGACACGGCCCCCGCGGTTGGTTTGAGTGGAGGGAGCCTTCCTGCCTTGCCCTGGGAGCTGTGTGGAGCCTTCAGATGTTCCCCTGAAGTGCAGGGTGCCAGGCTAGATCCAGGCTGTTTTCCTTCCTGCAGGTCCTCAGGTGTTGGGAGACTGAGGGATGGAGGGTGGGAAGAGCCATGGGTGCTACTGCTGGCTGCTGCTCAGCCAGGAAGGTCCCCTTGCTTCAGCACAGCTGGCTTTCTTTCAGTGTGAAGGAAAGTTTATAGCCAGGGTGAAAGTTTGTGCGTATACAGGGTGTCTGAGATCGTGTTGGAAATGTGCTGTTCTCATTGTACTTTCTTGCTGTGGAGGACTTCTGTGTGATAATTTTTTTCATAAGTATATCAATGACTTTCGCTGTTTCCTCAGTACCTTTACTTTTCTCTGAGAAGAAGGGTGTAATGAGGCATGAGATTATATCCTCGGAGTTTCCCTGCCACATCTAAGTGGAGGACATCACACTGGTAATAGAGACTACGTGTTCACCTCTCCAGACGCTTGTGCAGTCGTTTCTGAACAGACTTTAATGTGCTAGACTGATATAATGAATTCATGTTAATGGAAGAGAGATGGGCATAGTTACAGAGCATCCTGAAATGTGTGTGGAACTAAGATTTTGCAAATACACCTTTGTGTATTTATAGAGTGTGTGCTTTGTAGCTTTGTCAAGCTTTTTAATGGGGATCGTGGAAAATCATGTCAGAAAGTTGGTGTTGGGGGTTGGGCTTTGTGCAAGGATGTAATGAGAGGGAGTGACGGTAGGGCAGGGGTGACATCTCTTACTGTGGTTAAATTACTGCACTTGCAGCAGTCCCAGACGTGATCCTTCTCCCAAGCGCTTTGTAGTTCAGCCAGGATGAGCTGGCTGCGGATGAGTTTCTCTTTATGCTGGTGAGCACTGGTGTGGTTCTGGGAGTACTGCTGGGGAAAGAGAGGCCCCTGAGCTTGAAAACTTTTCATTTGTTTAAACACCAACTTGAAAATGTTTTTTGTACTCTGAGAAGCTAAAATAACAAACTAGCAAACAGTTTTTTGTTTAGAAGTGGTAGAGTTGGTTAATAAGGGTCTGTAAATTCACGTGGCCTTTACCTTCTGAAGTTTGGACTGTTCCCTGGGATTGCTCTCGATGACAGCGTGATCAGGGCTGCTTTTCACTTCAGACTTCAAGTGGAAAGCAGTTGAGTCAGCCTCTTTTCTACCCTTTACGCTGGCAGTTGTTGCAGACAGAAATTGTGTAGGACTGTGTAAATTACTGCTGTCTGTAAATATTCCCCAGGGCTTCTCCTGACCTGAGCTTCAGGAATAACTATTGTGTTGACTTCAGTCTGTACAAGCACCACATGCTCTGAGATCTGTGCAGTGTGAAGAGCTGGAAACTAATTGTAAGAGAGTGAGATGCCAGTCTGGATGCTGCTGCTATAGAAATTAAGATGATGTACAATTAAAAGTTAAACTTGTACAATAAATACAGTGAAACATAACCTTCACTTAGCTGAGGGGTTTTGCTGTGTTTCTGATATTTCAGAGTGGTGGGGGGGTGTTGTGGTTTTCTTGTTTGGTGCTTTTTGTAGTGCTTTAGTACAGCCTTGCACTGCAGGAAGATCGTTAAGGGAGAGTTGTCTTGGGTAATGGCAAGTATTGTTATTGCTTCGAGTATTGATGTTGTCCCCTTTGCTTTGGACACCAGAACAAGCTCGGGAGTGGTGTTTCATCTGCACTGTCTTTATGGTGTCTTACTATGACTCTCGCAGCCCTGCTGAATCTTTTAGAGGATACTGAAACATTCAGGGAACAGCTTCGTGCTCCAGGTTGGGAACTCTTGGATGGATACTGTATGCTTGTGCTGGCTGCACACTTGTTGTAAACGTTTTCAGCTCCAGCTTCTGTCCATGTTAAGTGGTGTGACTAAAGAAGCCAAGGGAAAGAACTGGCGTTGCCCTGTTTAGTCCATGGCATTGTGCTGCTGGAGCAGTTGGTTTGATAGCCTGATTTCTGGGGTAAGCAGAAATGTAAGGTTTTTACAGAGCATGTATTAAAAGTTCTGTCTTCCTGCATAATTTGGCCTCCACAGTTGAGGCATTTTATGTTGCCAGCTTCTGACATCAAAATACACTTATCGGTACAGTTGGCACTAATTAAAAGCCTAATGAAAACTCATTTTCATTTCAGCTTTCTCTTTGCACTCATAATCTCTAGAGGTTTCTGACAAGCTCCAAACAACATTTCTGTTCCTGATACTGCAATGATTTTCTCCAAATAACTGTCTTTCTTCCTTTCTCTTAATATACTAAAAAAAAAAAAAAAATAGTCTGGAATAGCGATTCTAGCTTGCTTAAAATCTAACCAGACCTTTTCCTTATTACTCTTCAGTTTTGGGGTTTCTTTTAAAAAGACTTAATGCATCAAGTGTCTGTAGCAGCAGCAGTGCTTGCTGTGAGGGAATTACAGTGAGATTCTTGTCGCGTTTGTCTCTGTGATTTTCTATTTCTGTAGTAATTCCCAGAGCGGGAAGTTATGGGTTACATATATAAAAAGGCTGTTTACACCTCTGGTTTGTGGGCAATTCAAATCTATTGACTGCCAAACCTTAATTTACTGCTGTTCTCAATTCCCAGACTCCGCTGACCTCTGTCAGCCCCCTCACTAACAAGCTGTGTAGCGTACCAGCAAGTTAGTTGCCAGGAAATGTTTGGTCCCCAAAGGAGTTTTGTTTCAGTTCGTACACCTTTACTGATCAAATCACTGGTACAAGAAGAGAGGTCTTGCTCCAGTTGGAAGAACTAAAATTATTTAGGGTCATGTTTCCTCAGCTTCTTGGATTAGCGAACTGCTGTCGGCTTTTATAATGTCTCATTGATCGCTGGCGTAACGGGAGGGAACGGAGGTGTTCATAAACGTCATTGTTACCGCTGTTCTGTGGCTTTATGGATCAGGAACGATCTATGGAAAATCCCAGGAAAGGCTGATTTTGGGATCTATCTGCAAGACAAAACCGGAGTCCAGCTGAGAAAGCAGTGGAGGGTAGTGCTGTATTCTCGCTCCTGTTGCTGCAGCAGACTGGCAGGTTTTGACCGTGGGTTTCCCAGGTTGCCGCCTTCTCCTGAACAGTGCCTCGGATCACAGAGCGTTCAGGGCGGTTGTTTTACTAGAGGGTCATTTTTCTCTGTAGGGTTTAGGGTTGCAAAGAAAAATGGTTTGCATGTTGAAGATTAATTGGTGCAGTGATATCTTTCTGATTGTATGTGACCCTAAAATAATTGCAAAATGTTGTTCTTAGTAGTTACTAATGAGTTGAAAGGAATATAGTTTTTTTTTCAAAAGTACTGTCAACTTACTTCACTGTTCCTCAAACCAGGCAAGAAAAAGAAGTAAGCTGTTACCGAATTCTGCATTGTTCAATTCTGTGTCTACTTCTTTTGTATGATGTTGGAGAGGCAATTTTTTTAGAAATTAAGAAATGCTGATTAAAGGCACTTCTTCACTCAGATGCACTGTTGTAATTAAGCCTTAAACTGATAAAGGCTTGGATTATGATGGGAAAATCCATATCCAATTTTAGCATATCTTGATGTATCGGAGAAGCAAATAGTTCTTTAGCATTTCTGACTACGGTCATAGCAGAATTGCAAAACTAAGGGAGAGCCAACACACTGGTCCTCGCTTTCCCACTGGAGGGGGTTGTAGGTGGAGGTGGAATGGTTCAAATTCTGTCCAGACTGACGGTTACTTTCCCGTTAGCATCGCCTCAGTCCTGCCTGGGCTTCAAGCACTCCTTCGTGCAGTAGTTGGCAGCAGCAAGTCTTGTTTCACTTGCAGGAGGGAGAGACGGGGCTCTAATATAATGAATCAGCATTCTGACAATAATTCCATTGTTCATCTCGTGTTCAGCCTGCACAAGAGGATGAATAGGTTCTGTAATCGCTGTACGTGATCGAGTCCGGAGAGAAGAGTCATACCTTGGAATATGCTGAGCTAGGGAAGATGAGAGCTTCTCAAGCAGTATTTTTCTGCTCCTGCTCCTATCTCCGGGCAGACCAATGCCTCCTGCTCAGAGTTATCACGGGCTGCTGCCAGGTCTGACAATCAGTGTCAGACACCTGATCTTCAGCACTTGCCAGGAGTTCTAGTGTTGCTAATGCAATTTGTGTTCTCTGACTTAGCCTACACCTAAAAGTGTCAAGGATCACAAAGATACTGGGTTGCTACACAGTCGTTGCTTCCTCTTCAGCTCTGAGGAGGGCTTAGACACGGCTGTGCGGTGCAGGAAT